CTGCCAGCAGGACTGCTGTGTGCCTGTCTCCTGCACACCCGTCTGCTCTGGGGCCGCCCTCTGCCCAGCCCCCTCGTGCTGCCACCCCACCCCCTGCCCCTCATCCTGCTGCAGACCCTCCTCCTGCGTGTCCCTCATCTGCCGCCCCGTGTGCAGGCCCGCCTGCTGCGTGCCCGTCTCCTCCTGCTGTGCCCCTGCCTCCTGCCAGCCCAACTGCTCCCGCCTGGCCTCTTGCGAGTCCCTGCTCTGCCGCCCCGTGTGCTCCCGTGCAGCCTGCTGCGGCCCTGTCTCGGCCCACAAGTCCTGCTGCTGACCGGCTCCATCTCGTGCCTCTAAAGCTGCCATCTTTGCACCTGAGCACAGGTCTCCTCTCAGGAGCCCCTGGAGCCTCCTGACACCAGGACCTCCCCTCTCCCCTTCGGTGGACTCACAAGAGCTGCCAACGGGGATTTGAACATGCTGCCACCATCCCTGTCTGAGAAGAGATGAGCCACAGATCCCTCGATGGGGAGAGGACTGGGGGACCCGGGAGCCCTCTTCTGCACGATTGGTTGCTTGTATTCGGTGTGACAAAGGTCAATTGCTATAATCAATACAATATTTGTGTCAGGAAATACTGACCAGTGTTTGCTTTTTCCTCCTCTGGAGCCCCCCCCCCCCCCCCGCCCTTGACCACTCCAGATGTGGGCAGCGGGTGCCCCATTGGTAGAACCAGACAATAAAGACTAGTCTCACCTCTGAGTTCAGACAGCTGGGAGACAAGAGCTCAAAGCGGATGCATCTGAATGCTCCATTCCCATTCACTGCCCCAGCGGCCCCCCTCCCTGCAGTGGAGAGCCCTCCAAGGCTGGGCCCAGGAGGCAGACATGGTGCAGGAGGCTTGGACCCTGAGGGGCCTTGGGCTTCCTGTCCACTCCGTCCCCCTGCCCTTGCAGGATGAAGGTGAGTGGGGAGCAGCAGAAACCCTGTGTGGTCGGGGATGGTGCTGATGTCCCTTGGAGAGAGGGGCCCACAGAGAGGAGCACCTGCCTGCTGGTCCAGGCACAGGGTCTTGAGGCCTACCCCTGCAGGCTCTGAAGCATCAGCAAGTTCCCAGGAGCCCTAAGAGGGGTATGGGGGTCATCTCTGACATCATTCATTTTACTGAAGCTTTCAAGGCCTGATTGAAGAGGCACAGAGCAAAAAAGACACCTTGCAGACAAACCCATGGGACAGTGGGGGAGGATGAGCCTGCAGTCTCAGTGGACCACTAGCACTAGAGAGTCAAGTGGGTATCAGTCAGACTGACAAGGTCAGCATTGGACACCCTACTTATCCCTTGGGCCAGGAACAGACCGAGGAGGCCCGTAGGACCAGGAACAGAAGACACCTTCCCAGGGAGGCCAGTGCGGAAGCCTGTAGGACCCACCCCCACCCCAGCTTAGTTCTACCCAGGGGGAGAGAGGATAGAGCAGAAACCTTTAAAGAGAAAGTGCGTGGATTGTAAACCTGCCTTGGCTCTGAAATCTCTCAGTTTGCCCGGGTTTGTTGAAAACCCGTACCATTACTTGTTCATTAAATTTTAAGAGAAATGGGACCATCTCCATAGATAAACAGACAAAGCCCTTGATGGACTCTTCACAGCACAAAGAGTTAAAACAGACATGGAAGAAGTTTTCACCTCACCCCTCACCCAAAAAAGTGAAGTGCAGGGCTGTTGACACACGTGGAAACCAGCAACTTACAACCCACAGTGACACCAGAACAGTCCATCGGGGGGACGGACGGAAGGACGGGGCCGTCTGCACGGACGTGCTCTGCCTTGATCCCTCTGGTATCAGACTATCCAGAACCCTCAGATGGTTCCTGACAGGAAAGTCAGTTGCAGCCACGGATGGGCACGGCCCTGCACCACGTGGCCGTGTGTGCACCGTGTGACCCACGGAAAAACAGGCTGAGCTGCTGGCGGCCGCGGGCGTCTACATGGGTCACGTAGGCAGTGCGGACACAGAAGCAGAGGATCAGAAAGGACGGGGGGTGTGTACTTTGGAGGTTTATTTAATACACGTTTGTGATGCAACGACCACTCTAAACGCCCTGAGACCCCCCAGATCTCAGGGGGCCGCTCTGTCGGCAGCGAGCGAGGCTCGTGCTCCTGGACCCCGTGACGCCCCATCATCCACTGAGACCAGGACAGTCGCAGCCCTCACAGGATCACAAGAGGAGCCTGTGGAGTGCTGGTGGACAGCGCAGGCAGCCACGGGGGTGTCGGGAGGGTGTCTGAAGGTGAGGACGTGACATGGAATGACACAGCTTGGAGACTGGGGACACAAAACAGCCGGCGAGACCGTTTGGTTCAAATGGAAAGCCAGATGAGACAGTGCTGTGGGTAGTGGGCGCTCTAAGAATTCCTCCTGCCTTTCACGTCCTCATTAACCTGTGACATCATCATAACGGAAGTTTCTAGACGTGTGTCTTCCAGCAGGAAGCTTCCCCTTGGTGGCACTCCTCTTAGACTATTTCTTGGTTCCCAAACAGCTCTCCCCTGGCACCCTGGTGTGCCAACAGCTTCCTTCTCCTGAGGACGGTGCCCCCTCGGGCGTCTCCCTCCGCTCCCCAGGACGGCCCCAGTGCCTTGCTCCTGAGTGGCCCATGGTCACACCACGGGCTAGGCCAGCGCTTTCGGCGGCAGCCCTCAGCTTTCTGGGCCGGGTTTCCCCTGCCCTGAATGACGCCGGCATCCCGCAGGGGGGATCCACCTTCTACAACCACCGTGATTCCCGGACAGAAGCGGGGCCACCACAGGCCTGCTGTCGGCCTTCCTCTGTGAACTTGGGCTTGGCCTGTGTCACAGCGTGTGTCAGTCAGAGTGGGATTCTCAGATTGGAGTCTCCTGTCCCCTCGTTCCCCAGGAAACAACAACAGATGCCACAGTCCCCAGGGAGCCACAGCACCGCCAGGTGGGTGGATAAAGGAGGGGCCCGTCTGGTCTTGTAGCTTTGAGCTGACCCCCATTAGGGGTTGAATTGTGTCCTCCTCCAAAAAGAGATGCTGGTGTCCTAACCCCTGATGCCCCGACCTGACCTTGTTTGGAAATCACGTCTTTGTGGAGTAGTCAAGGTAAAATGAGGCCGGTGGGGTGGCCCTAGTCCATAGGACAGACGACTGTGTCCCCATGAGAAACAGGACACTGTGGACACAGAGACGTGCACAGAGGGCAGACGCTGTGGAGAGGGAGGCGGAGGTTGGGGTGATGCATCTACAAGACAGTGGATGGCAAGGGCACCAGCAAACACTGAGGACGGGAGAGGATGGGACAGACTCTCCCCCACCGCCCTCGGAAGGAGCAGCCCTGCCCACACCCTGGTCTCGGACTTCTGGCCTCCAGACTGGGGGGAGTAACTTCTGTTGTTTCAGTCACCCAGTATGGGCACTTTGTTGAGGGAGCCCCAGGAAGTTACTAGACCCCCCGACTCCAGCCCCCAACGAGGGTGGAGAGCCAAGAGGAGGGGCCCGCGAGTGCCGAGGCCGGGAGTCCAGGCTGGCGGGCGCCGGGGTCCGGAGACCATTTCCTTGGTGAGAGCTGTGCCGCATCCCCCCGCCTCCCGAGGGGGAGGGACCGGAGCTGTATGTCCTCAGCAGGCAAGGGAGGGGGCTCCCAGGGGATCAGCAGGAGGGTGACAGAGGCCCCGCAGGGAGGGCCACCGCGGCCTGGGTCCCACACAGCCCAGGAACTGTGCTGGATGCTCCGGGGAGGAGGGTGGGTGGACTAAGGGGGGATGCTGCTGAGTCCCCACGGGTCAAGTGAGGACCCTTGGGAAAGAGGACGGGGGACTGAGGCCGGGCAAGAGCCTGGAGCAGGACAGCCCCGGGCAGACGGAGAAGGGACAGGCCCAGCTGGAGCGGGGCGTCCTCCTTGGCTGGGGCTGTGGGGCAGAGCTGCAGCAAGGTGAGCGCACGGAGGAAGAACGGGCTCAAAGACCCCCCAGCTGGGAAGGAGGAGCCGGCCTCACAGCCTCCGGGGCATGCCCTCCTTCCCTCCCCAGGTGTCTCCCGCCTCCTCCTTACACACCTAGTAGTCAGGGCTGCTGTTGGCAGGACCCCGGAGGGAGGGTGGAGATCGGAGGCTGTGCCATAGAGAAGTTGTGTCTGTCCTGTGGCTGCCATAAAGAAAGCCACGAACATGGTGGCTAAAACAACACAAATTTAGCATCCCGCATCTGTGGAGGCCGGAATCTGAAACGGGTGTCACGGGGCTAAAATCAAGGAGGGCAGGCTGGCTCCTTCCGGGGGCTCCAGAGAGAATCTGTTCCTCGTCTCTTTAAGCTTCTAGAGGCTTCCACATTCTTCGGCTTGTGGCTCCTTGTTCCACGAACAGCTTCCCATGGCGTCCTCTTCTGTAGCCGGGTCTCCCCCTGCCTCCGTCTCAGAGTCCCTGTGATGACCACAGGCCACCCGGATGACCCAGGACCATCTCCCATCACAAGAGCCTTAATTTACTCCCATCTGCAAAGCCGCTTTGCCTGTAAGGGGATGTATTCACAGGTTCTGGGATTAGGATGTGGACATCTCTGGGGGACCACAGAAGTTACCCACGGAGCTCTTTCCCACCGACTGGGAGGAGGAGGAGCTGCACTTTGCAATGGAGTTAGTTTTAATTTTTAGATTATAATGGGCCCCGCATATTGATTGCCGAGCAGGGGACCTATGTACCTAAAAGGGGTCAGATCAGAGAGTTAGAGATTTTCCCTCAATCCCACCCAGAGCAGGGTAGGAACTGACCTCGAAAGTTTAAGGGACAAAGTTCCTCGAAAGGAAGCCCTGGGGGTCCCATCAGGCTGAGTGCTGGGAGCATGTCCACTCGCCCAAGTGGCCACCTTTGTGGGTCAGTCGCCCAGGCTTGGCCATCTGGTAACCTGGTCTTTCCCTGCAGAGAAGGAACTTTCCAGAATCCTTGGGAACCACCCCTGGGGAAGCAGTTTAGGGAAAGTCGCTAAGGAGAGATGTCACACACACTGGAAGAGCGTCCACTCTGGTATTTATTAGACCTTTGATGCTGGAGGCTGCAGAGCCTGGACACACTGCACCAGCCAGTGTGGGCGCCGAGGGGATGACCCAGGCCGCAGCCAGGGGACACTGGGGGGCGAGTCCCTCAGCTTGGCTGGCTGGGATGGAGCAGCCTTGCTGCAAGGTGGTCTAGTTGGGTCCAGAAGGTCTGAAGTGGACAACACCTGGGCTGCCTCACAGGAGTTCAGAGAGCCGGCTGCTTCTGACCCCACATGTGGAGGAGGGGTCCTGGGAGGCTGCAGGCTCAGGAGCAGGAAGGGGTGCAAGAGGGGACGGGTCTGAAGACCAGGGTGGGGCAGGAGGGCTGGCAGCACCCCGAGGACTGGCAGGAGGGGGTCACACACACAGTGGGCCTGCAGCTCACGGGCACACACACGGCGGGTCTGCAGCTCACAGGTGCACACACAGCTGGCCGGGAGCTCACAGGTGTGCACACGGCTGGCCTGTAGCTCACGGGCACACAGCAGGTTGCCTGGCAGGGGCTGGGCACAAAGCAGGCCGGGCTGCAGGAGGAGGCCTGGCTGCAGACCACTGGGCAGACTGGGGAGGGACAGCCGCAGGCCGGCTGGCAGGAGGTGGCGGAGCTGCATGTGGGCCGGCACAGCAGAGTCACGCTGGAAGCTGGGTGGCCGCAGGAGCTCCCGCAGCCTGGGGGAGGGCAGCAGGTGGTAGGGCAAGCTGACTGGCAGCCTGTGGAGCAGCTGGTGTGGCACATGGTGGCGTGCGGACTGGGCTGCTGTCAAGGAGGAGGACGGGGCTGGTCTGCAGGCTCCTTCCTCGGGACGGCCTTTATACCAGGGCTGTGGGTGTCCTGGCAACGAGCCACAGAGGTGCCTTCCTTGTGGTTACCTGGTTGTTTTCCTCCTCTTCCTCTTCCTGGAGGAAGTCTCTTCCTGGAGTTTCTGGTTGAAGTGACGCAGTTCAGGAAGCTCCTCCTCAGCTGGAGACTCACTGGGACTCAGCAGCCCTGGGATTTTTGGAGTCCGAGCCAAAAATGGATGGTGAAGGGCCCTCAGTTGGGGACAGGGGACCCCACATCATGATTTTCCAGGTCCTCCCCAATTTTGAATACCCTGTCCTCTGTCTGCACGAGCACAGTCATACTCGCTGGACCGGGGATCCCCCGTTTTGCTTTGGACATTCCGTGATCCAGAAGGTCTTCCCAACTGACGAGAGCCACATGGTTGGCCTCCTCACTGGGAAGTGCAGGGACCATGTTATTGCAACAATAACAATGATAATAATAATAACAAATTCCAGCTTTGTGCCAGGCACCATATAAGCATTTTATGTGGAAGATGTTGTATCTGATTAATTACCAATCCTGCCACCATTCAAGGTGTTGGTGACACCCCATTGCTACAGACGTGCACTTAGGAAGATCTAGAAGGAGTCCATGATGTGGGCACATTCTCATCACTGCAGATGGGGGAGCGGCGTTTGAAGCTGCTTGGTTTCACTCTGGAATCTGTGGTCTTTACCATTCTGCCAAATTATGTTGGGGCTTTAGGGGTTTTCTGAGATTCTTGGATCTGTAAGTTAGTCTTTTTTTAAAAAAAAAATCAAATTTTGGAACTTTGTCCATTATTTCTTCAAAACATGCTTCTGCATCAGTGTCATTCTCTTCTTCTTGGGTTGAAATTACTTGTATGTTAGACTTTCTGATATTGTCTCATAGGCCCTCTTCCTTTTTCTTAACTCTTTTTCCCTCTTCTTCAGATTGGATAATTTCTACTGATGCGTCTTCAAGTTCACTGATTCTTTCTTCTTCCATCAGCCTAGGATTGCAGGATTGCGATGCCTGGTACTCAGGCTGCAGGATCTGAATCTGTCCACCTGTCCCTGCACCCTCGCACCCCACATGACGGGATTTCCCACTGCTCCTGGGACATGCCCACTTCTGCAGCAGTGTCCTCCCCCCGATGGCTGCCTCTGCCTGTAACACCATCCGCTGACCCCTCCACATCCTCCATTGCCAGCTCAGCATGGCCTCCTCACGGAGGCCCCCAGACCACACACCAGCACCCCTGTTACTCTCTATCTGCTGAACCTGGTTTCCTTTCTGGGACTCAGCCCTCTCTGGAATTATTTCATGCATGAATTTCTTCATTCACTCATTTATTCACTGCCCTGGAAGGCTCAGGAGGCCAAGACATCTCTATGGCCAGCACACAGTATGTATTTGTTGCATGAAGAAATCAATTCCTGTATAGGTTACCATAAGGCAGGAGTTGAGGTAGACAAAGGGGTACCTTTTCCATAAAGAGCAGATAGTATTTCCAGCCTTGCAGTCACACAGTCTCTCAAGTCACTACTCAGCACTGTGGTGCAAAAGCAGCCCTAGACAGCGCGTAAACGCCTTGGCATGGCTGTGTCCAATACAACTTTATTTACAAACAGACAGCAGGTCAGATTCGTCCCACACACTTCAGTTTTTGAGCCCTGCTTTAACGCGTCCTGTGCAGAACAAGAGATCAAAATACGTTATCGCCTCAAAGTCTCCGTTGATGGCACGGGACAAACAGGAATGAAAGGACACATTCCTGAGGAGGCCTGGGGGCTGTGTGCACGATGATGGCCTGGAGAAACCCCACGTGAGGTCAAACCAGAACATCCTGTTCACAGAAGGAGAAACTGGCCTAAAGCCAAACTTGTTTGTGGCGGAGCCTAACACAGGGACGTGCGTCTCCGGATAAGAAGATGATGTGGGGCAACGTGGTGGAAACAGCCGGGAGGAAGTCAACAGTGTGCTCTGTGTTGTCAGGACGCCCACAGTCGGGTATAAAGGCCGCCCAGGGAAGGAGCCTGCAGACACCACCACCTCCACCCCAACACCGGCCCTCCCCACGCCACCATGTGTGACACTGGCTGCTCCTCGGGCTGCCAGCCGGCCTGCTCTGTGCCCAGCCCCTGCCAGGCATCCTGCTATGTGCCTGTGAGCTGCCAGCCAGCCGTGTGCACACCCGTGAGCTGCCAGCCAGCCGTGTGCACACCCGTGAGCTGCCAGCCTGCCGTGTGCACGCCCGTGAACTGCCAGTCAGCCGTGTGCACGCCCGTCAGCTGCCAGCCTGCCGTGTGTACGCCCGTGAGCTCCCAGTCAGCCGTGTGCACGCCCGTGAGCTGCCAGTCAGCCGTGTGCACGCCTGTCAGCGGCCAGCCCGCTGTGTATGTGGCCCCCTTCTGCCAGTCCTCTGGGTGCTGCCAGCCCGCCTGCCCCACCCTGGTCTGCAGACCGGTCTCCTGTAGCTCCCCTTGCTGCTGTTGACCACGAGTCCCTTACTCAGCTGCTCTCCGTGCAGACGGGTCCACACCTGTACCCCTCCCGGAACAAGTCCTCTCTGGGCCTCCAGGTTCTGCACGTGGCAGATGAAAAGCATGTTCAGCGAAGCCTCTGACCTCCAGCATGAGAATGTGGCAGGATGATCTGGATCCCTCCGTGACCCTGCCCGTCCCCTCAGGGAAGCCCTGGCTCCCAGGGTCCTTCTCTGTCTCCAGCAGGAAACCAAACCCCATGTGAGCCAAATAAATCATGCTTTCCAATGCAGCTCTGCTTGTCCCTCTACCTATCTTCATATAGTTTTGAAGTTCCTTTCCTTGTAGGTGTATTCAAATCACAAGCACAGCAGCCCCTCAAGGAGCCCTCTTCCCGATGCCTCAGCTGAAGGTGGGGCCCTTGGTGGATGGAGGGAGTGAGGAAGGCCCTGTCCCCACCTTGAGCAACTGAGACTCACATTGTGGATGGGGAAGGGCAGAGGAAAATGTTCCCTCCCCCTGAGTGGGGGACGGGAAACAGGCCCGGGCCCCGGGTCCCACGAGGTACCTTGAAAGATTACTATAGTAGGAAGGGCAGGAAATTCTCACACTGTCCCACCAAATACAAAGCAGGGTCCGGCCATCCCTGAGAGAAGTGTCAGGAAGTGAGTCGGCCTCGCCCTCCAGGTCCCAGGCACCCAGGGCCTCCTCAAGACTGACACTGGGACAGGACGCCAGAGAGCCCTCCTGTCTCCCGACCCACCTGGCCAGCACAGCTGCATGAGCAGCATCAGTCTCCACCCGGGAAAGGCTGACATGTGTCGAGGTCCCCTCCACGTGCCAGGCGTGAAGGGCAGCTGAACACTTAGGGCGGAGCAAGAATGCTGCACCCCCAGCCCTGGCCCTAAGCACAAGCTGACGGCAGCCCACCACAGGACGCATCTGAAGCCTTCGGGACCCTAAAGGTCACCACCACAACAACAAACCCAAACCAAGATCAACATGTGACCAGGTTGATTCAAACCTCCCCACACACACACTGACGACCTGACAGAAGACACACCCACTTCCAGGAGGAAATTCAAAGTTCAAAAAGAAGAAAATTCTGAAATCAATTATCTAAGTTTTCACCTTAAACTAGAAAAGAAGAGTGGGTTAAACTCAAAAACATCAAAAGCAAGGAAATAATTTAAGATATCAGCAAAAAACAATGAAATAGAAAAACAATGGAAAAGAACCACAATGAAACCAAAACCTGCTTCTTTGAGAACAATAAAATTGATAAAACTCTAGCCTGATCAGAAAAATAAAAAAGAAAGAAAAGAGACAAAATACCAATATTAGAAATAAAAGAGTTATTACAGATCTTACAGTCATTAAAAGATTATATCTTATATCATTACAGATATTACAGTCATTAAAAAAGATCATAAGGGAATGATATCAACAACTTTATACTAATAAATATAATAACGGATGAAATGGTCAAATTCTTTAAAAGGGTTCACTACAAAAGCTCATGCAAGAAGAAATAGATAACCTAAATAGTCTCATATCTATCCAAGAAATTGAATTTACAGTTAAAAATCTTACAGCAACGAAAACTCCAAGACCAAATGGCTTCACTGGCAAATCTGCCAAACATTTAAGAAAGAAATACTGCCAATTCTACATGAACTCTTCCAGAAGATAAAGGGAAATACTCTTCCCTATTCATATGTAAGGCCCGCAGAATCTTGATATCAAAATTAAACAAAACCATTACAAGAAAACTGCAGACCAATATCTCTCATGAACAAAGATGCAAAAACCCTCAACAAAATATTAGCAAGTCAAATCTGGAAATATGTAAGAGAGATAAAAGGTCATGATTGTGTGAGATTTATCCCAGGAATACAAGGTTGGTTCAGTGTTTAAAAATCAATTTATATAATTCACATGTCAACAGACACATTATCTCAAGAAATTCAGAAAAGAATTTGACAAAATTCAATGTACATCAGGATAAAAACTCTCAGCAAACTAGAAACTAAAAGGAATTTCTTTTAAAGGGCGTCTACAAAATGCCTACCGCTAATATCAAACTTGATGATGAAGGACTGCATTCTTTCTCCTGAAAATCAGGAAGAAAGCAAGGATTTCTAATTTCACCTTTTCTATTCATTACCATACTGCAGTTCCTAAACAGCACACCAAGGGAACAAAAATAAGTACAAGGATACGGATAGGAAAGGAAGAAATAATATGGTCTCTATTAACACATTACATTATTTTTTATCTAGAAAATCCTTAAACTTCTATGATAAAGCTATTAGAACTAATATGTGGGCTCAGCAAAGTCAAAGAATAAAGGTCAATATACAAAAATCAATTATATTTCTAAAGACTAGCAATGAATAATTGAAAATTGACATCAAAAAAGAATACCATTTACAAAAGTATAAAATACTTAAGGATAAATCTTGGGGAAAAATGTGCAAAATTTGTATGTTGGAAACTATAAAACATTGGTGAGAGAAATCAAAGAAGATCTAAATAAATATAGCATGTTCTTAGACTGCCAGATATGTCCCCCAAATTGATCCATAGTTTAAACACAATCCCAATCTAAATCTCAACATGAATTTTTGTAGATATTGATAAGCTTATTCTAATATCTATTTGGAAAGACAAAGAAACCAGAATTGCCTGAACAACTTTTTAAAGAAGAAGGAACAAAGTTGGAGAACAAACATTTATCATGGAGCTATGCTGACCAAGGCAAGACAGTGTTAGCAACAGGACAGACACTTAGCTTACGACCCAGCTATTCCCATCCCAGACATTTATCCCAGAGAAATCAAAACCACATCCACAAAAAAAACTGTATGTGAATTTATAGTGGATTCAGTGGTTGCTAGGAGGGGAGGGAGAGGATTGCTAACAAAGGAGCATGAGGAAATTTGTGGGGTGGTAATGTTCTATTTCGTGATTGTGGTGCAGATGTGGTATATATAAACCATATGCATTTATAAAAATTCATTAAAAGTACACCTAAAAAGACTAAATTTTACTGTATGTAAATTATACCTCAATACACCAGACTTAAAAAGTCAAACAAACATAAGAGAGCGTCAATAGCAGGTGTTGTTGAGGAGGAGGAACCAGAACTTCGTACCAGCTGGTGGAAGCATAACCTGGTGGAATTACTTTACACAACGTACCTGAAAAGCATTTATGTTGGGCTTTATCTACTAAGTTGAACATGTGTGTGTCCTAAGAGCCAGAAATTCTGCTCCTAAATATACACCTGATAGAAATGTGTACACACAGAACACGAAAGATGTGTGCATATGTTGCTTAACATCAGTTTGCATCACAGCCATAAGCAGGGAACAACCCAAAGGTCTGTCGACTGTAGAACGGATAAGTTCTGGTACATCCATACGATGGCACACTAGAGCAATAAAGATGACTAGGATACCACTCCTCATGTCAGTGTGAACCTGCGTCCCCACAATGTTGAGAGAGAGAAGACACAGGCAGATGCACTGCCCGAGTCCATGTCTACAGTGTTCAGGAACAATCTGTGCCATAGACCTCAGGACATGGGCTCCTCTGAGGAGCAGTGATTGGAGGGGCTGGGAGAGGAGGTCATGGGGTGCTGGAACTTTCTATTTCTTCTATTTCCTTCTATTTCTATTTCTGTGGTTTCACATTTGTGTCCACTCTGTGGTCATCAAGCAGCCCATTTATCATTTGCACACTTTTCTGTATGCATTTTATATTTCAATAATTTTTTTTTTAATTCTGAGAGATTACTTTTCGCCTAGAATTGTAGACCCAGCAGAATATCAACATCAATTAAGCGTGATACATAGCTCAACTGGGTGTAGAAAATAAAGACAACAGTAGACCTGGGAGATCAGAAATCCTACTTCCCAGAACCTGGCCAAGAAGGTAGACAGTGAGGAAGGAGGAAGGCCTGGGACCCAGGAATGGGGCCCACTCCCTGCAGGAGGAAAGAGGACCTCCCGGGCGGCCCACTGCAGCGGCCTGGCCCCCAGGCCAGGTTGGATCTGGACAGAGGGCTCCAGGGTGTGAGTGTCAGGGTGGCCAACAGGTATATGATGACGATGACACCCACTCATCTCAGGAGAGGGGTCACACATTACAGATGACATGCCACCTCCACCCCCATCCTGGAGGAAGTGGAGAGTCAGCACCCACAAGAAGTAACCGGGAGCCAAACGCCAGCGTCTAGACATTCCTATGACAACCAACAGCAAGGAACTCCGAAATAAATCCCAGCAGAGAGAACACCAGCCGGCCTCAGAGGTTCCCAACGTGGTTTCAAGCTCTGCTGTCACTCTCTCGAAATTCTCACTTTCTTCTGTGACCCTGTGTTCTGTAACTGAAGTCCAACGGGACAAGGGAGCATGTGCAAGCAACGAGATACATGCAACACGTATGTCACTGTTCCCAGCGCCTGCTCACGTGCAGTGTCTGTGTGCCCAGGAGTGGGAGCTCCGGGGCCAGCAAGGTCAAGGAGGGTCCAAGGCAGGCAAGCTACATCTATGACTGAGCAAGCCAGGGCAGGACTCCTTGGAACACAGAAGGGAGGCAATGGCATTCTAGAAACCAGATGACATGACCAAGAGGCCCTGTTGTAACCTTTCAAGCTTGTGTTATCTCCTGAACCAGCCAACCCCCTAGGCAGAAAATGGTGACACAGAAGGACAAGAGGAAGGGGCAGCCCCCGGGCCCCTTCCTGCTCAAGGAGTGAGAGGTAGAGCGCACACATCGAGATGTGAAACAAACACGGCCGAGCACATTAGTGTGGTGTCCCCACCGTCCTGGAAGCACGAAATGCACTGTGCGCGCTAACCACAGGAACAGGGCCCCGGTGACTGCATTCCAGGAGTGCGTGGGGGCAGGGCCGGAGATGGAGGGAAGCCGGTGGATGGCCCTCGTGAGGGCCGCCATGGCCCAGGGCTGTAGGTCACTCGCTGACAGTGAGGGGGTGGGATGGGGCAGAGGCCTCCAGGTAGGGTGACCCTGAAATTGACCATCAAAATTGGGGCAATTTTGAGAGAAGAGAATCAATATTAATAATTACACGGGACTACCCTGGGGAAATGGACCCGGGGGCATCCTCACTCGAAAGAACTTGGACCTGAACCCCCCATCGGGCCATCTGGAAAGCAGGGCCAAGGGCAGAGTTTGGGGTTCAGGGTGGTGGCCAGCCTCATGGGTTGCTCCTGAGGATATGAGCAACGCCAACCTGGGACAGCTGGGGCACCTTCCGGACAG